CTGAGATTAGCTGAAAGTTGTTTAGAATTGTCTTTCTTTCTTTACTTCTTTCTTTCTCTCTCTCTCTCCTTCCTTCCTTCATGCCTCCCTCCTTTCTTTCTCCTTCCTTCCTTCCTTCCTTCCTTCCTCCCTCCCTCCCTCCCTCCTTTCTTTCTTTCTTTCTTTTCTTTCCTTCCTTCCTTCCTTCCTTCTCTGTACACATCAAGCCCCAAACCTCAAAATGTAGTTTTGTTGTTTTGTCTCCTGTTGGAAGCCGGGAAGAGACTGAAGCGCCATCAACTTAGTGGTCTCTGAAAATTGAGTAGTGGGAAGAAAAATTATGGTGACATTTATGGAACGTTCCTGCATCTCTGGAATTGAAACAAAACAAGAGCGATTCACGTTGTTCATGAATCATAGATGGAACGCCGCATTTATGCTCCCAACATCTGGCTTGAAAGCACCTTCATCTTCCCACCAGGTGACTGAGTTAATTAAGGAATGGATGACTTCATAGCTAGGGTAGGAAGCGAAAGACGGGCGCAAAGAAGAAGCCAAGAAGAACTCTAGATTTGCAAAAGGCGTCTTAAGTGCTGCCTACTTCAGAAGTTCATCAGTGTCCAAGTGAGGTAACGGTGACAGGGCACCTGCCTCTTTTAGCTGACACCGGAATAATTAATTTCAGGGAAACAACTTGCATCATAGATTAATTTATTTTGGCTGGCAGCTGCATACATTAGAAGACGTGTTAACTCCACAGCCGAGGCAAGATTTATTTGAAGGAGTTGGTTTATTTATAACTTTGGATGATTTCACTGCAAAGAAATGGATAGAGAAGAGCCAGGGCTCTGAGAGGGAGCATCTCCACCCACGGTTGATTTAAGGTTTAAAAAAACAAAAAACAAGCAAGCAAGATTTTTGCACAAACTTAAAAAGTGTCTTTCAGTAAAGCAAAATATTGTGATAGGAGATGTAAAGGAATTCTACTTATAGGAAGGAATTCTTCTGTGAGATCTCTTTGGCTCTAACCCAATGATTAGACTAGCACACTATGCTAAGCCATAGTTGGCTTGATCTGTGAATAAACCATACTTGGCTGAGTTAATACAACATAAATCATAAACTGTGATTTGAGAGCTACAATGATTGGGTTCCTATTGCAGTAAGCCAAAATCAAAGAAAGCACATTAGAATAGAATAGAATAGAATAGAATAGAATACAATAGAATAGAATAGAATAGAATAGAATAGAATAGAATAGAATAGAGCTGGATGGGACCTTGGAGGTCTTCTAGTCCAGCCCCCTGCTCAAACAGGAGAACCTATACCATCCCAGACAGGTGAATGGCTAGTCTCTTCTTAAAAATCTCCAGTGAAGGAGCTCCCACAATTTCTGGTGGCAAGCTGTTCCACTGGTTGATTGTCCTCACTGTCAGGAAGTTTCTCCTTAATTCCAGGTTGCTTCTCTATTTGATCAGTTTCCAACCATTGCTTCTCCTCCTTCCCTCTGGTCCTTTGGTGAATAACGTGACCCCCTCTCCTCTGTGGCAGCCCCTCAGATACTAGAACACTGCTATCATGTCTCCCCTATTTATTCTTTTCTTTAGACTAGCCAAACCCAAAGTCCCATGGCTGTTCTTTGTATATTTTAGTCTCCAGGCCTTTTATGACATTACCATTCATTTGTTTAATTGTTGTTGTTGTTGTTGTTATCATCATCATTATCATCATCATCATCATCATATTTTATTCTATTTTATTTTATATTTTACTTATTTAATTTATATTCCACCTTTTTAGGGGCGTGATGGCTCAGTGGTTAGCGGAAAGCTGACAGCATGAGTTTGAGACTCAAGTGCCGCCCGATGGGGTGAGCTCCTGTTTCCTGCTCCAGCTCCTGCCCCCCCCAGCATTTGGAAGTATGTAAATGTGAATAGATAAATAGGTACCACTTTGGTGGGAAGGTAGCCATGCTCCGTTTGCCTCAGCGTATAGTCATGCTGGTTTCCTGACCACTGGAAAATGTCTTCGGACAACTGTGGCTTCCTCGGCTAAAAAATGGAGATAAGCCCCACTCCCTAGAATAGGGAACAACTGGACAGAGGAAATTATCTGTACCTTTACATTCTGCTTTTATTTTTGATAAATAACTTATCTTCTATGCGGCGAGAACTTGAAAATAACATTTAACGCAGCACAGTATTTAAACAAAATGGTTCGGTTGAGATCTACATATGTGGGACTGATTGGGGTAGATTGCAAGGGTGACTCCAAGATATAATTTTATCATATTTTATCTATATTTTAAATTACTGTACTCTATTTTAATTTCATTTTAGACTATATTTTATTCCAATTTCATTTTAAGTCGTATTTTAAACTGTATTTTATCAAATTTCATTTTAAATTGCTTTTATCAAACTTTAGTAATAATTTGTTGCTGGACTTTGCACTTTGATATGGCCCAAGGGCTAATCAATAAAGATGTATTATTATTTGATAAATAACCATGCACTCACAATCTCCCAGTTTCTAGCTTTAACCACTAGACCAAACTGGTGTTTGAAGGTAACGTCTCAATCATGCTGCAGCTCTTTGGATGTTTATCAAAGGTTTCTCAATCAAAGCTGGATTCAGTTATCGTGTATGGTTTGTTAGTCCAGGATTTCCCACAATGCACAAACTAGTGCATGGAAAAAGCCAACGGCTTCTAGCCCAGAGGAATTGCTGCAAGAATATCCATAAGGAGTGCCATTCCAGATGTTGAAGTTCACGCAGTGGTTCCATGGATGAGACCAGAACTGGCTTTGAAGATCCAAAAAAGCACTTATAGAAATAGATGCTGCTATTTCCCAGCATTTCAACTTCTTCCGCCTCTGTTCCTGTCAGGAAAAACATTCATACCAAAATGCTAGGGTTTGGCCAACATGTTGTAACTTGGGTTTGGCCTGTGACAAACTGACAATGGCTCTCAGCCAATGGCTTCCAGCCCAGAGGAATTGCTGCAAGAATATCCATACAGGCTGGAATTCCAGATGTTGAAGTTCACGCGATGGTTCCATGGATGAGACCAGAACTGGCTTTTAAGGTCCGAAAAAGTAGGAAACTGTTTGAGGATTCTTTGAACCGGGCTAAAAGACAGAACCTGGGAAATCTCGTGTGCTTCACTCCAGTTTAATTGGTGGATCCCTTTTTCCCCCCGAATAAAGACCATGGAGGGAGATCTTCCTTGTACTCTTCCCTGCTGGATTTGCCTCTCTGTGAGATTCACAAATGCCTCAAGAAAACAAGGTGTTGCTGAGCTGCTGCTGAGCAAATGTTCCTGACTGTTTCCAAGCTTGTTTTAACTGGGGCTGCGTTAAAAATGCACCTCTTTTTCCTCGTTGGTACTTGTCCCTGGAATAGAGAGATTATTATGGTATTGATTTCCTCCCCTGCTGCTCTCCCTGCTAGATAAATAAACCCCGTGTCTTTTGAAGACCCGAAGATTGTGGGGTCTTGACTCCACAATGTGGGAAAACATTGAACCTGATTGAAATGCATCAAGAGCCAGCTTCTGGAGCTGTTTAGAGATTATATTATTTCTGAAATGCGCCTGGTTATCCTGGCTGTATCTGACCACAAACAGAAAAGAAAAAGGAAAAAAAAATATCAAACTTTTGTATTTCTCAAGTTCCTCTTGAAAAAAAAGAGGCAAAAGAACACAATACTTTTTTTCCCCATAAGTGTTCTCTTTAAGCATCATTCAGCGTTTGTATCATATGAGTCAAGTTTGTGCTAGCATTACAGGATTCGTGTGACATGCCCAGCATTTGCTGCACAATCCAAGATGAGCGCTGTGCATCGTGGCTTGGGGTCTACTTCAGCGAGAGGAGGCGCTTCTTTTGGTGAGGGTCCCTCTGTTCTTTCTGAGCAGGGGAAAGATACGGCAGACCCCTGAGCTTGCGTGGATTTTGCTCAGCCAAGAATTAGCTTAAGGAGTCCTCGTTCAGCAACTGCCTCAGACACAGACTATTTGCACTGACAATGGTGATGAATAAGGCACCTGGCAACCAGTCCTTGCACCAGCCACCTTGGCAAAGCAAAGGACAGCCGAAGGAAGACCATCAGCACAGTCAGTTTCATTAAGCGACCGCTTCATTTAATGACCAAGTTGCAGATCTCAATTGTAGTTGCTAAAGGAGGACAACCTGCAATCGCCTTTACATCCCCATAACGTGGATTATCTGAGTTGTCTTTTTTTTTCCCCTCTGTCTCTCTTTCCCTCTCTCCCTCCCTCCCTCCCAACCTTTGTTAATGCTAAGCTCCAAAACGGGGTGGGGTCTTTTAGGAGGATGGGGACTCCGCTAACTGCAATCTTGTGATCTCGAGCACAATTAAAACACCTCACACAAAACACCCAGAGTCAGACTTCAAATCTTGCCCTGCAGGAAGAATTGGCTTACATTGCAAGCAAAAGCCAGAAACCTTTATTATTATTATTACTCCTTTTTCTTTCTTTCCTTTTTTCCCTCCATTTTAGAAAAAAGACCCTCGTTCTTGTTCATGCGGGGGGGGGGGAATTTATCCTTTGATCTCTATTTTTCAGGATCAGTGAAAAGCCAGCTCTGCTTTTGAGCCTATCTTCATACAGACTCAGCCTTTTGTACAGGGGGTGGGAGGGGGGATAATGGCTGGTTTGTATACGGCTGATTGCCAGCCTGCCTTTGAAAGAAAGGTGGTTTGTTGATGTCATTGCCACCACGGCTCTTTTCAGATGGCTACCGAGCGCTGTGATTAAGTTGCAGCTGGGTGTATCTCCGCACAATGTCAATTACTTGGCTTAATTTGCAGCCAACCTACAATGGCAGGCGGCATCCAATAGCCGGTGGGGATCGCTCGCCTTGGGTGGTGGCGAAGCATGTAGATCAAACAATAAAAAATAAATAAATAATAGAACCCCATGCCGAGCCTAGGCGTGTGCGGCACACGTCCTGACACATGTTTGAGATGGCAGCGTAATCTCTCTTGAATTGTGCTTC